TGTCTTTCTTTGATTTTTTGGGAAACAATTTTTTGTTGTTGTTGTTTTCAACCTGCAGGTGGGACATCATCTGTTAATGGGACATGCTGGGCTGTCTACTTCCCAGGCTCTAGTCCAGAGAGGTTGAGACCTCTGGCCAGGGCCAGTGTGTTTGTGTTCCTGTAACACCAGTGTTACTTAATAATGTGCCACAGCACAAGTACAACGCTGGCAACTCAGGCAGGCCTAACAGAAGTTGAGAGATGCCCCTTTGGGGTGAAAATACAGAGATCGCCAAGCTCTAGGGTGAGAACAGCCCTGTTTGTGAAACTGAGGAAGGGGCCGGGAATTCGTGCTGCTGCTGCTCCTCAGAGGGCAGAAGGTACGGCCACACTCAGGTTGTTGTTTTATGAAAACATTTCACCCTTCGAAGGACAAAGTTAGTTTCAGTGTAATCAAGTGATAATTATGAGTAACGGTGATTCTTCTCATTCTTTTCTTTAAAGCAATTAGCAAATAGGGAGAAGAGACTGGTTCTACTTAGTGACATATTTCAGGCATGGGCTGATGTTTGCATTTAAACATGATGCCTAGTTTGGATTCAGTTTCACAATTTTAAACATTAAACCTGCAATAAAACACAAGTGGTCCTATGGGCCACAGAATCAGCAATGATCCAACAGTCCCCCACCCCCACCCCTGAGAAGTTAATACATGCAAATGAGAGCATTTGAAATCTGTTGATGCATGTAAAATCATGGGATTCTTTCATGCCCTCATGCAGAGTTCTGGACCTTCAGATCCATCTTAAGAAAGCCTTGTGGTCATTGCCCATGCAGTTGGGATGGCGAGCTCTGTATAGAGTAAGCCTGCAGGGCTGTGTGACAAGGTCGGGGATGCTCTGTTCTTCCCAGGGGCAGAAGGCAGGTTCCAAGACCTTCCATGCCCCTTGGTGGATACCAAGCCCTGGGAAGAGTGTTCATTCCACCCCCACTGGAGTCTAAGAGATGGCAGCATGGATTCCTTGCTCCTCTTACAATCTTACAGCAGATCCAGGTCAGCCAGGACTACACAGAGAAACCCTGCCTTGAAACAATCCCAATCCCCAGACGCTTATTTTATTTACGTGTACGTGTGTGTCTGTGTGAGCGAATGGCATGTGAGGGTACTCTCGAAGGTCAGAGAACAGTACTGCATCCCCTGGATCTGGAGTTACAGGTGACTGTGAGCTGAGTGCCGTGTGTGCTGGGAAGCAAACTCAGGTCTTCTGGAAGACCAGTGAGTGCTCTCACCCTCTGAGCTATCTCCCCAGCACTGCCCCCCCTTTTTTTTTTTTTTAGCAGTTTCACTATGTAGCCATGGCTGGAACTTGCTAGGTAGGCCAAGCTGGCCTTGAACTCACAGACATCTGCCTGTGTGCCACCACTGCTCAACTGGAACAGAGCTTTCTAAGAGGGGTAGGAGAGTGACAGCTGGAGGAATGGAATATTAAAAAGACTTGGCTGACCCTGGCTTCCTTTGAAGGTGGAGCAGAACCCTGAGGAGGTGGAAGAGGCTGGAAGAGCAGGAAGCTGACTCTCTCCAGAGCCTCCAAGGGCCCTGCCCAGCCAGCATCTTTACTTTAGCTCCAAGAGATACACTGCTGACTTCTGGCCTCCAGAGCTCAGGACAATGCATCTGTGTCATGTCAGCCACCCAGACTGTGGCTTTCTGTTTCAGCAGCCACAGGACACTCATGCAGCAGCTTGAGCTAAGGTAGAATAGTGGGATCTTCAAGTTTCCCTCTTTAGACCTTCACCATTCAGTGCTTACCCAGGCCTAGCTATGCCGAAGGCAAGCCCTGTGGTGAGGACTGTGCCTTTCATAGTCTACTGAGCCCACCAAACCCTTAGTGCATAGGAATTCATAGTCTCTCTATAGGAGTAGGACTATGGGGGGGGTATATACATGCTTGCTTTGTCCTCCATGGCACTGGGCTATGTGACCCACAAGAGGAGAGGAGGTCTCAGGCTGGTACCTTGGCATTTTTTCTGCCAAGGTCTTCATCCACATACAGGATCTGTTTAGGGGACAGAGCAGAATATTGTCCTCTGTGTCCTGTGTTGTAGCTGGGAATTGATAATTCCTAGCCATTTTGTCTTAATACAACTGTTTTTGTTTTGTTTTGTTTTGTTGTTTTCAAGACAGGGTTTCTCTGTGAATCCCTGGCTGTCCTGGAACAGGCTGTCTCTGAATTCAGAGATCTGCCTACCTTTGTCTTAAAGGTGTGTGCCACCATGTCCAGCCCTTAACACAGCATTTAAAGAAGTCAAAACGACTTCAAAAAATATGATTAAAAATATACAACTTTATTTTTTATTTATTTTTTTGTGATACTGGTGATGGACCTTAGGACTTCATTCATGCTAGGTAGGAGCTCTACTATTACAGTAACCCCAAACCCTTATTTATTTATCTATTTATTAATGAGAGACAGGGCCTTATATAGCCCAGGCTGGCCTTGAACTTGCTATTTAGTCAAGAATGGCCTTTAACACCCAGTCTTCCTGTCTCCACCACCTAAGTGCTAGGATCATAGGCATATGCCACTGCACCTGGCTTATGTGATGTTAGGGATGACCTAGAGTTTTGTGTAGGATAGGTAAGCCCCAGTTGACCCCCAGCCACAGGCCCTCCTTTAGGAAGCTGCTCACTGTAACCTTGAGTTCATTCTAGCTAGGGTAAGCCTTGAACTTGAGATTTTCCTGACTTACATTCTGGAGTAGCTAACAAACCCCAAAGGCTAGACTTGATTTTTCATTTTTTGGCTTGGTTCAAAAAAATTATTCTATTCTTATTGAGTGTGCATGTGTCTGTGTGTGCATATGCGTGTTTGAGTATGTATGTGTGTGTGTGCCTGTGTGTGCATGTATATTTGTGTGTTTATGTGTGTGCTTGTGTCTCTGTGTATGTGTGCATGTGTGTCTGTGTGTTTGTGTCTCTGTGTGTATGTGTCCATGTTGTATCTCTCTCTCTCTCTCTCTCTCTCTCTCTCTCTCTCTCTCTCTCTGTATGTGTGTGTGTGCGTGTGTGTGCATTCTTTCCTGAGCTGGGGTGTCAGGCTTGTGTTGCATGCTCCTTTACCTGCTGGACCCTAATGCCTATGTAAATGAACACTACTGTATTTCTTTTCTCAAGTGCTAGGGCAGCTCCTTATAACCCTGACCATGGACCTGGTTGGACTGAAGCCCATAGAGGACATAGCTAGTATTCTTCCACTGGGTTAGCCTCTCTCAACTTATCAACTCAGGTCCTCAACAGAGTAAGGTATGCCTCCTCACCACTTACCACTGCCCAGATGTTGACCCCAGTTCAATATGTGAGCTGAGCCCTCTGCATTGGCTGCCCTTCCCTTCTTCCAAGTGGAGTGATGTACTCATGCAGTTCAACCTGCCTAAGTCGAACTTCCTTGGCTTGTAGGAGGTGTGGAGGTCCTTGTGTTCACAGACAAGCATCAGGGGAACATGGAATGTTAGCACATAGCCTTGTTCCTTCAAGGGAGGGATGTGATACCTGTTACCCTCCTAGAATGCTGGGATGTGGGTTCTAGCCTGGTGATGAAACTTTGTACTATCTGTGTACCCAGAGACCACACTGGATCCTGCCCAAGATCCTTATTACAAGTTTGCTTTCCTCAATCCTTAGAACCTATCACTTCCGTAAAAATACCAGGAGGTCGTGGCACATGCCTTTAATCCTGGCACTCGGGAGGCAGAGACAGGTGGATGTCTGTGAGTTCCAGGCCAGCCTGGTCTACAAAGCCAGGACTGGTTCACAGAGAAACCCTGTCTTGAAAAAAATAAACAAACAAAAAAGTAAGGTCTATAGATTGACTTAGAAAATCTTTACAAAAAAGGTCATCACGTCTGACCTTTATTTAACTTGCTTTGTCCCTCAAAGATATTTATGTATGCTTTATTGTACACATGGAATTGAATTTATCATCAAACTGTGCTGTGCTTAAATAAACCTAAATAAATCTAAAATAAAACTTTCCAGGTAAGACCCCTGATGTTTGAACCCACATCAGCTGCTTAGTGATGCTGAACTGCTTTCTTACCTCCTGAGGATTGTTACTCTGCTGGCCATGGTGGTCGAAGTGACCCCTACAGGGTACTACTGGGACCTGCCTCCTAGTGACTTGAAGAACTGCTAAGTCGTGGGCAACAAGTGTGGTGGGCGGTGGGGGTCAGACTGTGGCATTTATCGTGTGTATCTTAATTGGTACTTGCTGCTGGGACCCCAGGAAATCACTCTGGGATCACAAGCCTTCAGGGCAAAGGTGGTTCTCTGCCTCCTTCTGGGACCTTTTTATCACCTGCCAGTGCCACACACGCAGCTGGCGTTCAGGGATGTCTTACACCTGGTGATACCTGGATGAAGGACCCAGGTTGGGGAGCAGAATCCTTTCCTTTCTAGCCTTGCCCAGAAGACCCTGGAAGACCTGTGAGTGATTTGCACAAGCCCCGGACCCAGCAGAAGCAGCTGGTTTATTTAATATCCTTGTGTAGTGATGTTGGGAAGACTTGAGGCTTTGATGAGGATGGTAACCACAGGGAAGGGAGCCCAGGGTGGGCTGCACAGAGAAAATCCCAGTCATACCAAGGCAAGCTGTTGGAAGCCTACAGATGCCCCAGGAAGAGCAGGAACTGGAGCCTGGTTTAGCCGTTTTCTTCATTGTTTTCTGTCTCCCTTGAAAATTTCTTGAGTTGTGTGATTTTTGCTCTCAGTAAGAAAAAGACAGAGGGTGCTTTGCTTTGAATGACATGTTTTCACAGGGGCCGGGAGAGCTGGGGGATGGCTTACTAAGCCCTGGGCCTCAGTTTCCCAATGTGTGAAACTGGGTTCTGAATTCTTTCTCCAAGGGAGGCCAGGAGGACCCCTCAGGACAACGTGTGAAAGAGCAGCGCTGTCCCAGGCCTGGAGTGATGAGACACTTTACAGACCTTCTTGGGGACATCTGGACTGAGAGCTGGTCCCTGCTGCCTAGTGTGTGTGGCTGGGGCTGTGTGGTGGGTGAGCATCCTAGCTGCTGACGGTGCAGCCTCCCTTCTGAGCTGAGTGTAGGCATTTTGGGAAATCCCTTAATACCTCTATTCTGTGCAGGCGTATATAGGGAGGACCAGAATGCTAGCTCTCCACTGCACTGCCCAGAGGCCCTTGCCTGACTTACTGCCAGCCTTCGGTACCTACATTGCCAAGAAAAACATGGACGTCACCATCCAGCACCCTTGGTTCAAGCGCGCTCTGGGGCCCTTCTACCCCAGCCGACTGTTCGACCAGTTTTTCGGCGAGGGCCTTTTTGAATATGACCTGCTGCCCTTCCTGTCTTCCACCATCAGTCCCTACTACCGCCAGTCCCTCTTTCGCACGGTGCTGGACTCTGGAATCTCTGAGGTAAGATGCTGCCATATTGACTTTGTGCTGGTCAGAGGGGTCTCGGCCTTGTCTAGAGGACAGCTAGGGAATCCAGTACTGTCCTGTGCTCTCCTCTAGCAATGTCCCTGACTCTCCCAGCCTGCAGAGGCTGGGTGGGAGCCCACATGCTTAGATGCCCAAACTTCCCACATCACTGGGAACGGGGTCGGAGGAGGAGACCTGCCCGAGCCCGACCGCTGTCTTTTCCTCCCATCAGCTCATGACCCATATGTGGTTTGTAATGCACCAACCACATGCTGGAAACCCCAAGAACAACCCCATCAAGGCAAGTTCCATGGCAAAGGCAAGCGTCCTGAGCTGGCCGCTCCCTGGACTTTCTCTTTTTTGGTGTGGGGGTGGGATGTACTGCCTTGAAGCACAGAGAGAAGGGGGTTTCTTACAGTAGGGCAGGAGCCTTCTGTAGCTGGCAAAGCTGCAGATGGGGCTCCCTTCTAGCTTCCCTGATGGCCAAAGAAAAGCCACAAGGCTTTACCTCTCTCTACTCAACTGATCCATAGCTCTGGAAGAGTTAAACCTCCCTTTGCTTTAAAAGAAAGGTCCCAGAGCAGATCCAGCCACAGATCTAGGAATCCAATTGCCCAAATGCAGGCTCTAGTTAGGGTAGAGGGAGGAGAGTGTAAAGGGCTCTGTGCTAGCAGACAAGGGTGCTGTGAAGCTGTTGGTAGCATCACTCGACAGGTGAGGTGTGCTCCTGGGACTGTGGCTATATTGCACACTTTAGTCCCATCAGCTAGCCAGTTCCCTAGCCAGGCAGACAGTCCCCAATGGACCCACTAGCTCATGATTAACCATAACCAACCAGCTACTTAACAAAATCAATCAGTTACTTCACATGTTAAGAACCACCCAGCTCATTACCAGCTTAACTTAATCAACAAGCAACTTAACATGTTAAGACCCACCCAACTCATAACCAGCCTCTAGGCCATATCCAAACAACTGGTCAACCTGTAACCGGCCATCTGATGATGATCAACCATCCAGCTAACTCAGAACCAATAACTTGGACTCTAATCAGCCAAGCCACTCATTTATCAACCAGCCATCCTACTATAACTAGTCCTCCAACTTATAACCAATTAGCCAGCCACCCTATAATCAGTTGGCTGACTCAATATTGCCCAGTCCTTGGGTTTGGAGGTCAGGGGTGATCTTACTGAGGGGCCAGGTGAGCAGTGTCAGCTGTAGGCTTACTCAGCCTGTGGAACAGAGCTGTGACAAGATTGATTGTGGGTTCTGGCGGCCGGGCACTTCCCTCTCTGGTCTCATGCACCCAGCAGAGATCACACAGCCATTTCCCCACCCTTTGTCCCTGGAGATGGTGGCCCGTTGGGAAAGCTCCACATGTGGGTTTGGGTTTCAGGTCCGATCTGACCGGGACAAGTTTCTCATCTTCTTGGATGTGAAGCATTTCTCTCCTGAGGACCTCACCGTGAAGGTGCTGGAGGACTTCGTGGAGATCCATGGCAAGCACAACGAGAGGCAGGTGAGTTTGGGTAGTACCCCTATCTGTGTGGGTCCTGTATCCCCAGAGAGACCAGGGAGGCTGCACTGGCTCAGCTGCTCCTGCTGGGAGGGGCCGCATCCTCTTGTGCTAGGCTGGCCCCTCCCAGGACCATGGAGGTCACTGTCCTCAGCCCTGGTGGGGTCAGGCAGCAGCATGAGCAGGGCTCGGGGATGCAGGATGAGGACTCTTGTATTGGGCATAACTCTAGCTGTCCCCTTGGATCTTCTGGATGATAGGATTAGAAAGGACCTTGGGAAAGTAGAGTGCTGAAGGTAGCCCCTTTCAGAGCCATAGGGGGAGAGCCCCCAGACAGGAGAACTGGCATTTACAACCAAAAGTTGTATATGGCATTTCAGTTAGTGAGTGACAGTCCTGAGGCATAAAGAGGTCCCTCTCCAGGCGGGGAAGGCTTCTCCCCCAGCAGTCACCTACCCTGCCCCATGGCTCCTGATCAGGTGGAGAACCTTCGGGTCTTTGGATTGAGGGAGCTCCAGGCACTGGAGCTGGCTGGAAGTAGCAACCCCTGACAGAGGTGGGATTATGTAGGAAGCTCGCTGAGGTTGGCAAGGTGTGTCATGCCCATAAGGGCCAGATGGCAAAGAGGGCTAGAAGCGAAGTTCTCAGTCCCAATCCTAGTTTCTCTTGGGTGGGCTTTTCTGTCAACATTAGGAGGGGGTGGGGCCACCCAAACTCCTTGTACTGAACTCAGCACAAGGCTTCCCTGACTCTGGGCCAGGCTGCACAGTTTACTTTCTACCTCTTGACCTTTGACCCTAGAAAGAGAGGAGATTGGGCCCAGGGAGCTGAGTCTGGGGGCCCAGGATTCCAGAGGAAGTGAGTTTTCTGTTGGGTGGGAACACACAGTCCCTGTGTGTTCAAGGGGAGGGGAAGCTGGGTTAGGATAGCATAGATCATTGGAGTCAGGACAGAGTCTGCATGAGCCAGTTCTGTAGCACAGGCCCTGAGTAGGCTCACACCCTGTGTGTGGCCCTCACCTGAGGTCCTTCGGAGGCTTGCTGTAATTCTAGGGTTTAAGAAGTCTGGTTGTAACTTGTAAATCTCATGGTAAAGTAGCTAGGCACTGGTACTCTGGTCCTAAAGCTGTGTGAGACCACCTGGACCATGGCTACTTTGTGTGGTCTGAGAGGTTCGTTTTCCACTGTGGGATGGTGGCCACTACTGCCCCATCACCATTGACCGTGCTGCTCCCTGATGGTCCCCAGGATGACCACGGCTACATTTCCCGAGAGTTCCACCGTCGTTACCGTCTGCCGTCCAATGTGGACCAGTCCGCCCTCTCCTGCTCCCTGTCTGCGGATGGCATGCTGACCTTCTCTGGCCCCAAGGTCCAGTCTGGCTTGGATGCTGGCCACAGTGAGAGGGCCATTCCTGTGTCACGGGAGGAGAAGCCCAGCTCGGCACCCTCGTCCTAAGCGGGCCTCACCTTGGTTGTCCCCTGAGGCCCCTGACCCATTGAGCCCAGGGACCACAGCAGAGTCTGCCTTCCTTCCTTCCTTCCTTCCTTTCTCTTTGTTCCTTTCCTATTTTCTCAGAGGGCTGAGGGTTTGAAGGAGTGGTTTAGAGAGCTTGGAGTCTTGGCCTGAGGTGCTGCAGGTTCAGGGTGACTGAGGCTCAACACCAGCCAGTTGGAAGAAACGATGGCATTGAACTCTTGAGATATGACCTGTCCTCCTGGAATGTGTCAGAGTGGGTGGTGCTGACCAACCAAGAACCCCCTGCTGAGCCCCTGGACAGCAGCCTTCCTCTTGCCCACACTTACTGCAGGTTCATGTGCTGGGCTCTGACAGCTCACTTCACTCAGCCCCTCTTTCTGCAACTTTCTCTAAGTAGTATTGCTTCTGGGGACCCTGGTCACCCATGAGAATGGAACCCCTGGCAGACAATAAAGAGCAGGTGACAGAAGCAACTTGCGGTCTGGTGTCGTGCTGTCTCCCTTTGGGGTGGGGGTGGGGCACTGGGAGTGTATAGTGGTCATCCCCCGCTTGCCCTGAGTGGGTTTCTGGCCCCCGATATCACCTCTTAAGCCCATGGTTCCCTCTGCAGCTAGCTCCGCAGTGCTGTGTCCTAACCCCCTTAAGGTCGTGAGGGTAGAGTCTTGCATGGTATGGCTGCAGGCAGGGGGCTGAGCTGTCCTTGGGTGTTCAAGGTCTCACATATGAGCAGTTATTTGACTGTGTGGACCGTATCTGACCTGCTCCCTCAGAATGACGATGTCTTTGGGGATAGGATCTTTTTGGAGGTGATTAGAGTGAAATGAGGTCTCCAGGGTGGCCCTGACCCAACCTGATTGTATCACTGCAAGAAGAGAGCAGAACTTCCCTCTCTCCCTCCCTTCCTCCCTTCCTCAATTCCTTCCTCATGCCACACTCACTCTCTGCACACATGCCTCTTAAACTTGGGGGCCTTAAAGGCTGTAGTTGAGGTTACTTTCCCCCTCTGAGATGCTCTGAGATCTTGGGGTGGGTCCCCCCAAAGCCCCCTATTAGAATAGGGAAAATCAATCCTGGGGCATGGTTGCTCACCCTTTCTGGGGCTGCCTGTAGCCTGTGTCTTTTCACCTGCCCTCCTTGCCCAGGATTCCAGGTGACTTCATGTCACCACAGCTATTATGGGACCAAGGTCACAAGACCCCCTGCAGGCACAGAGCAGCTGGTCACCCTAAGGTAGCTCTGGGGACCAGCACTGTCATCCTTGCCCAGGAGGAACTCAGATTTAGCCACAGTGAGGTCCTGGGGGACAAACAGCAAGGCCTGGAACTCTGTAGGACCCACCTGGGCTCATCTCATAGACCCTATGCGCTTAGGAGTTGTGGTGGGTGACCCTGACCTCTTTGGAGTCATGGCAATGTCTTCTGGATGCTGTCCCAGCAGAGGCTATGATGACCCAGTTCTAACACAGTGGGTACAGCTATGTCTATGGCTGTAAGCTGCCCTCTTGGGGTCTGATTAGCTGTCAGAGGTTTCCTGGCCTTATGGCTTCTATTTTTGCTGTGGTAAGAACTCCTGAACCATGGGGCTGCCTGCTCTCCCCTCTCTTCTGCTCAACTCTTTTCTACATATGTGGGACCAGTCCTGATCATATAACATGCATGCTTGCCAGCCTCTTCCTTAGACACTGCCTTACCTGCTGGGCATGCTCAACCCCCACCGTCGACTATACTTCCTCAGTGGTTTGTGCCTGTGGTCTATTTCTTGGCCTGGCTCTCAGGGTCCCTGTGCCCTGACTGCACCTGATTTCCTGACTTTACTCCTTGGTTTCCAGAGTATGTTCAGGTCAATATTGTTTCCAAGACAGGTTCTGGCAGACAGAGCTTGCACTGTCCACTCTGGGACCCATAGAAGGATGAGTTGGCCAGTGCCCTTCAGACAGAAACCTCAGAACCACACACAGCACATTCCCAGACTACCCCTGCCCTCCTTATTGGATGGAGACTGGAGGGCAGAACCCAGGGGTTTGCTTGCTCTATAGTCCTTGCCTGAGGTCAGGCAAGTAGAGGAGATTCTGCAATACCAGTGGGGAATGTCCTAGTCAGGGAGCTTGAGGGAGAAATCTCTCTGGATGCTGCCTTGCTGGTTCCAGTGTCTCAGATTCTAGTTCTCACTAGTGGCACTGTTTCCCCACCACTCAAGATCCTGAATGTGGCCATGTGGTTATAGAACAAGGATCATTTGTGAGCCCTTCCTGGAGCTCCATTTTCACCTCAAGCAGCAGTTTCACTGTCATTGCTCCGATCATCACCATTGTGGCCCCACCGTCAATCACCACCCATTATAATGATGACATAGTTACATCCTTATAACCTTCATCACGACCGCCATCATCACATCCATTGTAATCGCCTGTCATGGTGATATCATCACTACTAACCATAACCATGATGATGTCACCATCATCATCACTACCAACACTACTGTCGTCATCATCATCAACACAATGATGACATAACCACCATCATGTCATTACACATCGCCACAAAATCACCATCATCATAACTGAAAGAGTTAAATTCTTCCCTGGATCTGGCCTGACACCCATGTTTGCTAAAGGATTAAATGAATGTCCCTAAGTAAAGCAGGAGATAAAAAGGTTTGCTTAGGAACTGTGGCAGATGGAAATGTAAAGTCTGTTACAGTGGGGTTATAACCTTAGGGATGGTAAAGCAGGAAGTAGTAAAACCTGTCCCACTGGCGGTTAACTCAGGACATGAAATGTGTCCAGATCTTAACATTGTGATGCTGGCTCTTGTAAACGTATAGTTCTGCTTTTGTGATTTTTGTGAATGTTAAAGCCAACATCTCTGTAGTCCTTCTATCTTGTCTACAAACCTCAATATTGAGGCTGCTCTCTTCTCCTAGTTCAGGGGGCAGTGAGTAGGCCTGGTGTTGTGATTTTTTTTACTTTTGCAACACTCCTGCCTCTAGCAGATGGGGATATAATAATAACTACTCTCAACACTAACACCATCATCACCACCATAATGTTAGCATCATTACCATGACAATATCATCATTGATATCACCTCCATCATCATCTCTCTAGTAACATCATCTTTCCCATCACCACACCATGATAACATCATCATCACCACCATTTTTATCGTCATCACCACTACTATGTCACGATCGTCATCACCACCATGGTGATATTATCATCATGGCTGTGACACTCTTATCACCTGTAAATGAAGAAAAGAAATAAAAGAAGGACATAAAAGGAAGGAAATAAAAGGAGGGAGAGTACAGGCGGGGGGGGGGGCAGAGATATCTGGGGAAGTCTAGAGTGAACATGACTGAAAAACTGAACCAGGCCTGTGAGGAGATGGAGAAGGGGAGAGGGGAGAGCCAGGAGACCAAAAGACCAAAAAACGACCAATAGCCAAAATGGCCGAGTTTATATAAGAGCAGCTGGGAGGAGGGCAGTCCAGCCACTGGGCCAGAGAGCCCAGCGTCGGGACTGGAGAAGCCCACCAGATGACTCTGTAACAGGTATGGGCCATGCTGAGACAGGCTGATGGATAGTGTCTGCTTGGATATAGTCATAGGCACCTCAGTAGGCTGTTTGCTCCTGGTTTGAGACTTAACAACATGATGAGATCATTGCCATCACCACTACCACCAAGGCCGGAATGACGACATCAACCATCACCATCATTCTTCTAGTTCCCCCTCAGTCGCTTTAGTAAAACTCTCTGGCTAAAAGCAACTTAGGAGGGGGAAGGGTTTACTTGGTTTACACTTCCAGGTATTAGTTCATCATTGGAGGAAGTCAGGGTAGGAACTCAAGCAGGAGCATGAAGCAAAAACCATGAAGGATGTTGTTTACTGACTTGTCCCAATGCTCACACTTAACTAGCTTTCTTATACAGCCCAGAACCACCCACCCAAGGAACGGGACCGAACACAGTGGGCTGATTGTACACACACCCCCAATTAATTAACAACTAAAATCATCTCCCTCAGACACATCCACAAGCCAATCTGATAAGGACATTATTACTCAAATGAGACTCTTCCCCCCATTCCACACCCTAGGTAACCCTAGGCTCTGCCAAATGGATAAATAATGTTATCTAGGACAGTCACCTTCATAGTGACATCATTTTCACCTCCATTGCCAGCAGCAGCATGGTGGTGTCATCGTAGTCCAGAATTACAGAAGTAGTGGGAAACTTCTTAACAGAGAACCTACTGTGTTCCCTAGGGTCCTGGTCACACTGGCAACTGGCAGTCCTCATGCAACCTACCCAGGAGCCTGTGACTTGGAAACGGAATCACTTGCCTTGTGTTGCCTGTTGGTGAAGGTTGGAATGAGCCACTTCTGACCTCAAAGCTAGCACTCTGGATCCCCAGGTGGAAGATGATTATGGTGGCACAGGAAATCATCAGGCTGTGGTCTCTGGGGATGGCAGGTAGATGCTGGTCCTGCCCTGTTCAGGGTTTGCTTTGTGGCTGCAGGCTGGGTTTTCAGCCCCCCGCCCCTGAAATACCACATTTCCATATCAGTTTCAACTGGCCTCATCCTCGCAGATTTTCCTTGTCTACTAACCACTGGTATGTCACAGGCTCACCACCAGGTGGCAGCTGAAGCCTTGCTTCAAAGGCAGACCTTGGCCCACACTGACTGAGAATACCAGCCTTAAGGGTCTCCTTCACTGGTCCAGGCAACCAAAACAGTCGCACAATAAACATCCGCAGGGTCAGGATCTGGGGGCCTCTGCCTGTGTGACAAGGATCTGTAGGAGATGCTCCTGGTCCCAGGAGTCTTGGCCACCAGGGAGCCTGAGCTGGAGACACACAGAGGCCCTGTGGGGGCCAGTCGTGTTTCCGTATAAAGAGTCTGTTGGAACAACCATTAGAAGGAGAGGTCACCTAACACAGGCCAGCGCCGTGCAGCTCTGCTGCTGCTCCTGCACACAATGACGCGGGCTGTGAGCCGGGCGGGGCCCCAGGGTTTACAGCGTCTCCCTGGGAAGCCTCTGGCAGAGACAGTCAGAGCAGCTTCCTTCCGGCCACGACTGCAGAGACCCGTGTGGGGGCTGGGAGGCTGGAAGAGAGGGGCCTAACAGGAGGCCGCAGCTGACACAGGTGTTGAGATCTCATGTCCTGTCAGCCTGGCTCTGCTTGCTGTTGCCGGCAAGAACAATGGGCCCAGGGAACTCTGCTGTCACGTGGGACAGTCCCAGTTGAGAAG